AAAAAAAAAGATGTTTAATTAAAAAAATATATAATTCTTGTACCAAAAAAAAAAAAATATATAATTCTTCGCCCACATTATTAATATCAAATCAGAGATCGTGGAACAATAATTAATTTAAAATATATGATAAGAAAAATAGATAACTTATTTAAATTTCAAAATAAACCCACAGCATAAGTTAGTGGATTTTTAATTAAAACTCCTAAAATGGATAAAAGATAAAATCAATGGCTGAAGTCTGAAGAACATTTCCTTACCACAACAAATGTAGTAAAATTTACAGCAACAAACAAACAAAACCCATATCAAACCTTTCAGAATCCAAAATACTGTACAAGAAAAAGAACACAAAACAGTCTTAGCAGCATGTGAAGAAGAAAAAAGAACACACACACACACACACACACACACAAAGGGCTAAAAACTATTTTGCCCCATAATTTACCAAACACCGCATTTCCAAATTCCAACAGTAGGAACTTCTATACGATTAAAGAGAGTCGTTAGGGACATTGAACATGAGTTTATCACACGGGTATAACATCAACATTTGACGAGTCCTCACACCTTAAGACGAGCCCATCAAAACTAGCCGGTAATGTACATTTGCTCCACTGGCATCCGGTTGTGAAGGGCTCGTTTGGAGGCACTATCATCAGCACATTTTCATTCCTTTGAACGATGCCCATCACACTCACAGTGCTTCCTTCCTTGATATACCTGCCAGGAAAAAAAAAAACAGTTAAAATTTAGAAAAAAAAAAATTAGACGGTCAACATTATTACTTACCCTTCTTTAAGTCGCATTAGACGATCATCGAGAGTGAGATTTCTCTCTCCCAACCAACGGATAAATTCCGGAGAAGTGTCGTTTTTGGAAGGATCAACATTTATGGCAACATTTTCATCTACATATGGAGTTACGTGTGAACCGTACCCAGCTTTAACCAACGCCCTCAGACCAGATTGGAAATCAGAGATGTAAAAATCGACAGCGTGTTTCTGCAAAAAAAGGAGGGGGAAAAAAGAAGCAAGAAAAAGAAAATTAAGCATTTTCGAACAAGGAATAATGATTATGTAATGTAAGGCACTTAATCTTCAAATATGACTCAAGACAAGATGATATGGAAGAATCAGATAATTTTTTCAAGTAAAAATTCTCTCTTTCTGTAGGACTTAATAAGGCTAATACAATAATCGAGGGGATGCTTTGTAATAATAACTGAAGGGAGATTTGTGATATCGTTATTAGGATGAAATTTGGGTGTAATCGGTGCAATTATTATCCCAGTGTTTGAAGCTTGTAAAAAATAAGTGTCTCTGTCAACAACAAATTGAGGAAGAAAAAAACAAAACAAGATTGCGATTAAACCTCTGAAAATCGAAGTGCCCAAGTGAAACGACGGTGAGTAGGAGTTGTGGGCTTGGAACCCCATCCTCTGTACTCGTACAAGCTTGTAGAAGTGAACACACATCTCGGAAAGTTCTGGAAGGATGACTTCAGAGGAACATTTCCACACGTGACCACCTTCGAAATAAATACATACAATCCTCAGAGTCGAAAAAAAAAAAACACAAGATTACAAAAACATCACGATATGTTAGATTATTATTCGGGTTTACGTTCAAAAGTAATGACGGTTTTGCATGTACGTAAGAATATAATCGTTAAGAAGAGAAATAGATGCGTACTCCGGTGACTTTGACGAATTGGCCATTTTTGGCAGTCCTGAGCTCGGAATCCGGATAGCTAGCAATGTATCCAATCACAGCCTTTCTCACCCAGAACAAATTCCACACAAACAAAGCAGCCACTAAAACAAACAAAACGAGCACAACAACTAGAAGAATAGCATTGTTAACTGCGCCAAGTATAAATCCCCCAGCAATAAAGCCCATCACGAAAAGCATCACAACGGCCCACAAAATAGCTCTCGGGAGGTTCTTCACGAACGAGTGCTTCTTCTCCTGACCAAGAGTTGTCACTGCCGCCAGGTTCTTCATGGGCCCGCTTGTGTCCAAGGGCCCGGAAGCCTTTCTCAGGGCCCCGGACTGGTTTATTGGGCCAGACGAGATGGGCCCGGAAGTTATGAGGCCTGTTGTGGGAAGTACCGGGGCCAGCGGACCGGAGTTGGACTGCGGGCCCGAGGATTTCTTTATGGGCTCGCCGTGCTTGGTCAGTGGGCCGGAGTTTGATTTTTTCATGGAGGCCGAGCCCGATAAGCCCATTGAAACGGGGCCCGAGGTGGAGTAGCTAGCTCGGGCTGCAACGTGATGGGTTGCAATGGGCCCAGAATGGGTTGCAATGGGCCCGGATTTTCTGGATTTCGAGCCGTCCGGAGGGATGACGAACATTTTACCGAGCTCACCCGATTTTTTTATGTCTCCACCAGTGTAGGGCATGGCCACTGAGCTCATAGTTGGTGTTTTCTCTTTAGGTTGCTCGGGTAAGCCCGATACAAAGAGCCCATTGCTTAGCTGATGAGATGGGAATCGAGTGCCCATGAGGTTTTTTTTTTTTTTTTCTCTTTAGTTCTCTGTGCAAAAAGAAAAAACGAACCATATTAATAACAAATTTATTCAGAAATTTAAATATAAATTGTTATAGAGGCTAACAAGGTGGAGGTGTGATCTAACATTTTTTCAAGGGGTTCTTTCACTTTTTAAGTTTTAATAACATCGGTCAAAGGAAGAAAATCGAGTGCAAGTTATGACATCAACAAATGAGATTCGAAATCTCGAAAGTTAGTGACGAGGGAAGAAAAGAAAACAAGAACCGACATATTTCTAACAAACATTTTGACGAAAGCAGCACGCAAGCAATCCAGCCGTAAGATTTCGTGACTTTTACTTAATTTTCGGGGTATAAGAAGTTAGAAAACTGCACGTGGGGAAAAAGAGGAATTTAATGCTAAAGCAGTTAATGAATCCTAAAGCCGCCATATAAAGTCCTCATCAATTTATCTGGGGATGCCGCAAGGCATGATGAACACGTGGAAGAAAGTGAAACGTACAACGAAAATGTAGAAACTGCACATGAGGAATATGATGTTCGATATAACATGCATGGATAACACAACAAGTAAACGGCCTAGAGAAGGTAACAGATTATCTTTGTTTAGTTGTTTTTTTTTTCTTTTTTTCCATTTATATCTTCATAGCTTCACGCTACTGTGGGTAAACACAAAGAGCCTAGTCTACCTTACACTTCACATAACCAGATGTTTACTTTTAACATCGTTTTTCATTCATTTGCATGGAATCTATGAAAACCAGTAAACAGAGAGAGAGAGAGAGAGAGAGAGAGAGAGAGAGAGAGAGTACATGATCAAGTTATCAGTCAAATCCTCAAGAGACTCACAAGTTACAAACAAGAACTAAGAGAGAGCTCACTATATATTGTGTAAAAGGAAGTAGAATAAAATGCAACTATCTACCGCTAATAAATCTAGCTGAAATTTATTTTCATAAATACAAGAGAATCTTCCGAATGATGTGAGCCAATAAATGCAACCACCAATTCTTCTGTCAGCAACACATGTGAAAGTATGCAGGACTTACAGAAAAAACAACATTTCTCAGCATGAATCCATTTCTGTTTACCTGAGTGATGCACTAAATACAAAACCTCACAACCGATTTGTCCGAAAACAAGTAATGGGAAAATACATGATTTTTTTTTTTTGGACAGAAATTCAGAATGGCCTTAAAGAACAGATAAACAGCCCACACAAAATCAATTATTCGATGGTTCACTGCTCTGGTAGAAACATATTTACTCCAAATGTATTACTTTCTACTGCTCGATCCTACTAAAAATATAACATAAACGAGAACCCCTTATTCACAAAACACACAAACACACTGCAAAAAATAAAATAAAAAACAAAACTAACTTTCCAGACAAAGCCCCACAGGACACACATTTTCAGCTTCAATTGGGATTAGCACTGCACAAGGACTAAAACGTGCACATACCCACTACACCATAGGAGTAAATTAACACAAAAAATTAGAGAAAAAAGTTGTGT